GTTACTGTTATTTATTATTATTACTAATATTGTTATTGTTGTTATTACTGATTAAGAGGCCACATCACTTTCAGACTCGAGTCCCGAACACAAACATGAGTTTTAATGAGGATAAAAACATTTGCTAAATAAACGATGACACATCCTGATAAATATCCGTGTTTTACAGTTTTTATGACACGTGCTCTAATAAATCTCTGTATGTATTCACGTTGCACACATTAAACTTTATAGTTTATAATAAATGAATGAAACACAGAACCCTCCAAGCCTGCAGTTCTTCTAGTGTGCAGCAGAGGCAGCAGTGAGTCAGTCCTCATAGACTCCCATGGTAACGGCACGTTTACGGCTGATGCAGAGAATTTCTACCTTCACACCTGTACCAAATCATGCAACCATGCACCTGTTTGCAATGTTAGGGGCGTGGCCTCTGTGACAGACAGGTGCAGCATCACCTGAACTGCACCTCTGGTCCACGTTTGTCCTGCTGGAGCCTTCTGGAGCATTTTAATGACATTATGTGAATAACACGGTCTGTGACAGTTACTGGCAGCTGAGGCTCATGGGTAATGCAGTATTTGGACTCCTCCCTCACAGCGTCTCTCGCTGAGCTATGAATATATCAGTTGTTGTGTAACGTGATCCGTGCTGACAGTCAGCGCCGAGCCCATTACGGCCTGATGGAGCTTAATGGCATCTAATGGAAAACACGGTGGCCTAAAGAGGGCTGCGATTGGACAAACACAGAGTGCATCAGACAATAAGAGAGATAATCTGAGTGAATCCACATCGATTCACCGTGAGGCCCATTAGCGCTCCCACAGGCTGAGAGAAGCTCCGTGACCTCCTCAGAGATTCAAAGAAAACCACGCAGACACAGACAGTAAACGCCACACGGCTAAGTCTCCACCCACTTTATTCATACACCAAATCACGACACTCGTGGACCAAAATAATCACAGAACAGATCGAGTGTCAGAGCGCCTCATCAGAGTCCTCTGGTGCTCTTCAGAACCAGAACTGAGGAGGTCAATGTGACCGCTGCTCTCCCAGAGACCGCGACCTGACAGCCCGCTCAGGGCCGTTTCCCCCGCCTCGTCCCTGAAACCAGCAGCCAAAACTTTAAACATGAAGGTGGAAACGTCCACGTGCTCCCTTCAGCTCAAACAACCAGAAACGGCTCTGATTGGCTGCAGGTGTTTGCCTCCCTGCATAGCAACCACAGCGCCACCTGGTGGTCAAAAACTGGTTCCAACAAATAATTATTTTCCTTCTAAATCATTTTATAATCAGGACACTGGAGCGCGCACACACACACACACACACACACACACACGCACACACACGCACACGCACGCACGCACACACACACGCACACGAAGTCAAATCTCAGAACACTGAGGAGGCCACGC